GATGAAGTCCATACATCTAAAGAATGAAACAAGTATCCCGAAAATCACCGTATAAATAACTGAAATTGAGAATATGAGGTAGCAGATCTCAAAATGTCGCCAGTGATTTCAACCCTATGTAGGGTATGGGTGGATATGAATGAATAGTTTTAAAACAGGTTTTCAATGGTATCCAAATTTATATCAGTCTATAAACAAAGCTGTCTATACTTTCAGCAATTCGCATCACGGACTAAATTTGAGTAAACAACCTATGAAAAATAGGAAATAGTATACAGCCATTTTATTCTAGAATGAGACTTCTCAGCAAAACACATCTACGAAATCGCCAAGAATCGAACTCAGGACTTTCAGGTCTTGTGGAGATTACCTAACTGTCAAACTACCGAGCTAACAAACAATGGTTTGAGATCGTAACTTCGACCAGTTTATCATATTGCTCAATCATCATCTAATGTCATTGATAAAAAACTGTCTTACGCCAGAAATGAATAAACTCAACTGGTCAAGTCTTCTCACCAAACCTCCTTCACTTACTTCTCAAAAGTAAACACTAGTGGACAGATCAACTTTAGCTACGTATTGATATATCTCTTCTTTATCAAAGTGTTTCACCGTAAAATGTGATAAAACAATGATAGTGAAGATAAACATTAATTTAAAAGGACGAAACGACCGTCCTGTGCTTCCAGGTTTTCCGTGGTAGTCCGTGGTGACTCATAATTTCAACTATTGAAATTTTTAAAATCTCCAAAAAGACCCTTCTGATGATAAACATCTGCTCACTAGCGACTGTCTCCAGGAGGTATTTCCTGGAGTTCTAGTGAGAAGCCGTGATCAGTGGAGTTCAACCAGGTCCGTTATGAGATATCAGCTCACTGAAGACAATGGTGTACGGTGGCGAAATTTCGTGAATTAGTTGGATGCCAACCAACTCAGTGATCTGATGGTTAAGCGCTCACGTGCGATACTGATAAGTCCTAGGTTCGAATCTCTCGGGGGGTGGGGTCGTGGATGTGAACTGTTGAGGAATCCCATAATAGGACGAAATGGCCATCCAGTGCTTCCAGGTTTTTCATAGTGGGCTAACTTCATTTGACTCATGATTTCAACTATTAAAATTACTAAAATCTCTACAAAACCCCTTCTGAAAAGAAAAAAAATTATTTCGTATAATTTCACGGCTTTAAATTTTGCAATTAACCAGTCAGTTTTCAAAAATGGAAATATAATCAATAAATGTCGATTCATTTCAGTTATATAAAATTGGCAAACATGATTTCAACAGTATGATTAATTATTCATATTGATTTTATAACATAATAACAATCATTCTCTTTATACATACGTCAATAAATGTTGTACATTTATCTTTCCGTTTTAATAATTCATATTTAGACTCTTTTCAATGTACAGTGAAGACTTTATTAATGATAAGAAGACAGAATCTGAATATCTTCTATCATTTTCTGTTTAGATTGTAAATGGTTTTGTACTATAAGTATGTTTATATGAATGATTCGTGTTCACACGTTTATGAAGTCTTTTATAGATCCATTCAAACCTTTTTCTCTGCAACGATATGATAGTATTCTTGAATTCTTTTAATAAGAATGGTTATCAAATAAACAATGATACTATAATCATTTTGTAATCATTTGTTAATTAAGATTTTGTTTATTCTTCAGAATACTGAACAAAAGATTTATGCCAATTAATCTTAAAAGTACAGATTTCCACAAATTTCATCTCATTTTCGAAGGACTTCAAATATTATAAAACCATCATTAAATATATTCTGGTTAGAGCTTTTTATTAGCGAAATTGTTGATCCCATGACCAACCCTCTTCATTTACCCGAGTGATCTATGCTCCTCCACGAGGGGTAATAGACATAAGTAAGCAAGTGATTAAGTATGTAATCATTAAGAGAGATTTTGTCTATATATATATATATATATATATATATATATATATATATATACTGATCTGTTAGAGATAATGCAATTTCGCATAAAATAAATGTGTCTCAATGGTAGTATCACGGCAGCAGCACACAATACATATTTGCTGAAAAAGACGGATCAATTGAAATTCATATTATCAACGGTAAAATTCAAACAACCAATAAGATTAAATTGACGTTTACCCCGCTAAACACATTCGTGGCTATGTAAACTCTGAAGTTCAATTTATAGCATGTCGGGAGTTTGAAGTGAAAGGTACTGGGGTCAAGTTTCGACGTAAACACTATTAGTGAGTTGCGATTGCATCCAGCTGATTATTCCCAAGTAGGACTAAAAGAGCGTTCTAGATTCCACTGCTAGACACTTCAACTTTCCTCTTAATTCATAAGCAGTGTTTAAATGCAGCGTCGTTATCACATTATATTTTAGATTTAGTTAGAAATGTTTTAAAATGAGGACGTGTACTCTATTTTATTCATATAAAAAGAATATTTTATAAAATCATCTTCATGTTCACTTGAGTAACCAGTATTTGTGTTCCAATGCTATTCAATGTCAATTAAACTACCGTTAATTCAGTTCCTAAATGTCACTATTATGAATTGTCTCTTTCATTTGTTTTGTTTGTTTAGTAGTTTTAGAATGGTTTCTACTAGATTGAGTTGATTGTGTTTCACATTAAAATTTATTGTTTATGAACTATAGTGTAAATGAAACTTATGAAGTACTGGACTAGTATTTCGTCGTTTACTAAGATTTTTAAGTTATATATAGCCATACATATGATTATGATAAATAACTTCGAGTCTCCCATTACGAGTTATACTAATGCATTACTGGACTGGTATCTAATTGTTTAAAATACTAAAGAGTTTCGTGTATTAATTCCATGAAATATAGAAAATTAATAAATAATTAATTATATGAGTAAAATTTATATATTGATACTGGTGATAATAACAGCTTGAATAATTGCTTCACCGTAGGAAATCAATAGAAATTTGGGGAATGAAACTAAATGAACTAATTTTATAAAGTAGGGATAGATAGTGGCTAGTGGCGGAATCCAGGATGCACATTTCGTTCTACCTGATACTCATCACATTGATACACTTGCATCCCAGAGTTGATATTTACTCCGGGACTAGAAGCCAGTACAGTAGAGTTCGTTTCAAACGCCATCGCATTATCTAATTAGTTAAGGAATACAGATAGTCACTGGCTTGCGCAACCGGGTGAATTTTAATTTGTCTACATTGGTTTTTTGAGTTTTCTCTGAGTAAAAATCAACTATGGGATACAAGTATTAAAGATCGAGAAAGACGCATTCTGAATTCCACTGCTAGACACTACCCATCTATACTTGAAAATACTTATTACTTAATGGAAATGTCGACGCTATCCTCATATGCCAAATGGGATTGATCGATCACAACCTTGAACATCAATGGGACGATTTTAATAATCACTATAGATGAATTTATCTAACTGATAATTACTACATGTTGATTAGTAGTATAAGAATAATCAGTTCAGATATATAGTTTGTGCAGAATAGACCTGAAAAGGGTGAAATGAAATAAACGATGAATAGACAGAATCATCAAGACATTGTTACAAATTTGTTTCGAATATAAACATCAGGGATGTTGTCTCAAATCCTTATGGCTATAATTGTATATGGGAAATGAAATACACATGAAGTTCCTGTACACTGTTTAAGCAAAATAACCACAATTAGTGCCGTTCATTGCTAAAACTAAATCTGTTTATAGAAATGATTTTACAGAAAGATATTAAATGGTAAAACAGTTGTCTATTTAATGATTTAAAAATCGATTGTGACGGTGACTTTATAAATTTTTTCGATATATTACCATAGATGTCGTACACTTATTACTTTAATCAAACATTATTCACTAGTTCAAAGCATCAAAGAAGATAATCTTTCACGTTTTCTGTTTTGAATAATAGAAATAATAGAAAATAATAATCAATAAACAACTACTTTGTATTATTTTAAGCCTCCTCATCAATACACATCGAAATTAACTCTTGATTCACTATAGGACAATGTACAATTAGATTTAAACTCACAAATCTAAACATTATACGTTCACCAAGTTGCGTGTAGATGTTAGACTCAGTTGCCGAAAAGATAATCTATGTATACTTCAAAGAAGTCTTGAATCAAGATAAACACAATTATCCAGTACTTTGTTTTTTTTCCAATAACTTTGTAGTTTATATCAATTCATGATGAACATTGTCATCTTTTTTTTCCATTGATTGATATTTAATTATAATTGAACTTTCAATATCTAGGGCGAGACTATAATTTATAGACAAACTAAACAAATATAAGATAGTTAGTCTTAAATTTTGGCATGAAATTCATTCATATATTTAGCTAAATATAGTTTTAGAATTATAACTGATATCAGTTCATGATAAAAATCTTAACCTTAATCATCATCTGCAAAATTATAATTCATATTCCCCCATATTAATTTATAACCTTCATTATGTCTTAATTTGTAGGTGGACATTCTCAAAATCACTTAAATATCATCCATAAATTATACTCTCCCTATACATATATATATATATATATATATATATATAAAATAATATTAATTATCAATCCTAAATATACATGTTATCTAAATTAATTATCATTATTAAATTATATATTATTAGAGAATTCATTCTACTGTACACTTTTATGTTTAATACGCCTACGTAAACGTTAATTATTTAATTAACCAATCAGAAATGAATAACATTATTCTACAAATATGATTGGTTAATTTATCTTCAATAGAAAAAAATGCAAAAAAAATGCAAAAAACATATTAGTTATCTAATCATCATTTTAATGATTTCATTTAATTATTTTCTAAAATGTTTCTAACATTATTTTCAAAAATACATATACATATATCTATACAGAATAATATTTATGGATAATTAAGAATACCAAAGAAACTTCAAAGGATTACTATTACTATTATTATTATTATTATGGTCATTATGAATAATACGTTAACTATAACATATATTGAATATAATGATCTATTTAATATTACACAATTTATACAATCACCATTGAAAATGATTACATTGAGTTTATTATTATTTATTAATTTATTTATATTTGCATCTAATTTATTTATGATTATTATATTATTAATTACAAAAAATAAACGTTTTGATGCAACACGTAAATTTTTAATTAATTTATCTATTATTGATATAAATTTTGCTTTATATATAATGCCTATATCAATTATATATATTATATTAAAAATGAATTGGTTACCATATTATTTAATATGTTATATATGGATTATAATAGATATATATTTTTGTACAACTAATATGTTTAATTTAGTTATTATAGCATTTGATAGAATGTTAGCTATTAATTATGCTGTAAAATATAATCAAATTATGTCACCAACACGTGTACGTTTATTAATATTATTAATATGGTTATTAGCATTATTAATTATATTACCACTTATATTCTATATAATTTGGTATCAATTGAATCTATCATCTATAAAACAAAATTTATTAAATACAAATATGGATATAACAAATTCATTAATTCATAATCATAATGATCAAAATGATTCTATACAATATAAATGTAGTTTAATACATGTAAGTATATATATACGTTTATTTATATCAATTTGTTCAATGTATATACCAACTTGTCTGATGTGTTATTTTTATTTTCATGTATTTTCTAAAGTTATTATGAATAAACGTGGTATATCTATTGGTTTATTAATTAATAATCATAATGATTATTATAGACAATCAAAGAAAAAATTTACATCATCTAATGATAATATAAATAAAAAAGATTTCAATAAAATTGATCATGATAATGATCATATCAATACTATTGATAATAATAATAATAATAATAATAATAATAATAAACGGAATAAGTGTAAAATGGATAAAACCTTTAAAGATAAAAATACAATTAATCATTCAAAATATGGTTTATTGAGAGTACATGTTGGTGGAAAACAATTCTTATGTGGTAATAATACATTTATAAATCATAAATGTAACAGTACTACAAATATTAACAATATTAATAATAATAATAACAATGATAATAATAATAATAGTAATATGTCACAACATGTAAAGTTAAATAATAATGATAAAAATGACACTAATAATTCAACTATAATGATTAATACATTATCAGATAATTCAACGATACAAAATCAAAATGATTCATATGATCAATTACAATCAACAACTACAACAACAATATCATCAACGAAAAATCCTCAACAACAACATTCATTATTGACAACAGAATTAATAACATCAAATAAATTAATGAAATCTGATTGTACTTTATCCAATGATGATTCCAATTCAATGAATTTAATTAAACCTATGGATAAATTAGAAAATAGTAATAATAATATTATAATGAAGAAACACTCGAATTCATTATCTGAAGTATTCTTGAAAGTAAATAGGAATAAATTGAATGATAATGATAATAATAGTAATAATAATCAATCTATTAGTCGACAACCTCATTCATTATTATCATCATCAACATCACAACAACAACAGCAACAACAACAAAATTTTAAAGAAAAACTAACAAATATATTACGTAAACATTCATTTCATACATTATCACCATATACATATATAAAACCATTAGAAATGAATCAATCAAGACGTTCAACTGGTAGAACTGATAAACATGATAAATTTAATGATATAATTCCATTAAGACGTTGTGCATTAATGCCATTTAATTATAATACATTATATTCATCAATAAGTAATGAATATATTATAAATTCTAATAGAAATTCAGAAAATTTATCAAATATATCAACAACAATAATAACACCAAGAAATAGTAATCAATTAGATAAATCAATAATTATACATGATCAATTATTATTAACATCATCATCATCTACAACAACAACAACTAATTATAATTATAATATTAAAATGAAATATATAATTGAATTAAAAGCAATTTTTATGTTTTTAATGAATATTAGTTTAATTTTATTATGTTGGTTACCATATTATACATTAATTTTATTTAATGATATATTACCTAATTTATATATAACAATTAATTTATATCATTTTTTTTATTGGTTAAGATTTATATGTATAGCATTAAATCCAATTATATATGGTTCTGCATCAGAAGATTTACGTAAAGCATTTAAACGTTTTATTATACATTGTGGTAAAATAAAACATGAAAAAAAAGCATTAAAACGTTTAGTATTAGCTGGTTTAGGTGCAGCTGGTATACCATATGGTCATAGAATAATAATACCACAACAAATGAAATCAACTGATTATAATCAACAATATAATAAATCAATGATATATAATAAACCATTAATGGTTATAGCTGATATTGAAGAAAAAATTTAAATATATATATCTAACTGTTTATATGTATGTATAGTTTTAAAAAATATTTCACCTGTGATTTTAATGTGAATAAATACATGTTTATCATTTCAATCTTATTTTAAAATGTTTCATGTTGTATAAATAAAGATAGATTTAATATATAAAATATAAATAGTAATTACTTTCTATTTTTCTTTATTGTTTTCTTTCTCTTTTTTTTTCTTTTACTTGTTGTTATTGTTGCTGTTGTTGTTGTTGTTGTTTAAATTCATTCTTTTAAATATTCAAATAATTTGAATGAATAAATGAATAAAAGGTATGGATATATGTTTAATTATTTTGTTTATTTTTATTAATTATAAAATGAAAATATTATTTTATGTATGTTACAAATTAACATATTTTTGTGGATTAGTTAAAGTTAGAAATTAACACTGTTGGATAAAAGTTGGCTCATTGGTCTAGAGGTTAGGCGTCTGTGCGTGAAACTGAAAGGTATTGAGTTCGAATCTTTCGAAGCGGGATCGTGAATGAGCACTGTTGAAAAGTCCCATAATAGAATGAAATAGTCGTTCAATGTCTTCAGGTTTTCTATGGTTGTCTAACATAAATCTGTTCATGATCTCAATCAAAAACGTAATAATCTCCACAACCCCTATACTGATGTTCTAAACTGTATTGAAAATTAGAAAGGTAATGAGAAGAACGAAAATTAAAATAGATATCTAACTATTTATTAACTAGTGAATGGAAATTTAATAGTTGAGTTCATGAGTCAATTGAAGCTAGACCACCATAGAGAACTTGGAAGCATTGGATGGCCGTTTCATCTTAGTATGGAACTCCCGGTGCTTCCAGGTTGGTGGTCTAGCTTCAATTGACACATGATCTAAACCACTAAAATTACTATAATGCCTACAAATACTCCTTCCCATATTAATCAACATATGCTAACTAGTGACTGGTTTCAAGAGGTATTTTCTGGAATTCTAGTAAAATGCAGTGACCAGTGTAGCTCAACCGGCTCTGTCGTGAGATAGTACCTCACTGAAGACAATGATGGACGGTGGAGTACTTTCGTCGATTGGCTGAAAGTAGACATTAACACTGTTGGATTCCGTCCATCTCAGTGATCTAAAGATTAAGCGTCCGCTCACGATGACCAATAGGTCCTGGGTTCGAATATCCACAAAAACGTTTCAGAAATTTTAATCTGAAAATAATTATGACGTAATCATATTGAAAAAGGTATATTATTGTCTGAAATTTCATTATTCTTATGTAAGAAGTATTAACTGTCGTAATAATGATTAAATAATGTAATTCATGTAATTATTTTTCTGAAGTTAATTCTAGTTTAATCCATGGATTACATTCAATCTCTAGTGGAAATCTATTTTCATATTTGAAAAAACAGTATATGATTAAATAAAATGAAGTATATAAAGAAAGAGTCGTTTATAATTTTACAATTTAAAATAATGTTTTATCTATAAGAGTTAAGATATATAAGGAAGGATTTATAGTGGCTAGCAGTGGAATCCCTATCGTGCGTTTTGTTCTATTTTGAACTCATTAGTTGGATGTACCAGCATCTCAGAATTGATGTTCACTCTGGTACTCGAACACAGTATCTTTCTCTTCAAATGCCATCGTGTTATCAGCTTAGCTATTAAGTCCTGATAGACATCTGCTTGTGCGTTGGGGTGTAGTTTAAAGTCACTTGATATTGTTTGCTTTTATCTTTTCATTCTTGTGAACATCAACTATGAAATGCAGGTACATCCAGCTGAAGAGTCACAAATAGAATGAAAAATGCTTTCTAGATTCCACTGCTAGTCACTATCTATCTTTGCTTATAAAGCTTGTGACTTAAGGCAATACCGAGGCAATCCGCACACCATGCACATATACCAATAAGAGACTGATCAATTACAGTCCTAAAGGACAATGGGAAGTTTCAAGCAGACAATATTAGGTGAATTCAAACAGTTAAGCCAGTTATGTTTTAATGCTGTAATTAATGATATTTATTATTAATTGTACAATAAAAGTTTGTATTGTCTTTCTAACAGAAGTTTACTTAAATCATACTGTTATTAACTACATAAAAAATAAACTTCAGGAATACTGTAGTGAATATGAAAACATCAATGGAGTTGATCGAATGTAGTTTAATACGAAATAACATAATCGCTTAGTAGAATCTGAGAACCATACCGTAAATACTACGTTTACAAAATATCAATAAACTATCTTAAGCTTGATTATTCCTTCGTTTTCATACCAATCACTCCTTGTTCTCGCTCTCATCACTTTGATCTTCTTAATCTTCTACCAATAGGTATATCACTTACAATTTATGATACTTATTACTTATATTCATCAACATCAGTAGCATACACTACAAATTCCTTTTAAAACAGTTGCTAAGTTTTGAAGCATAGCATACTAAAAGACACAACAGATCAAAAGCGTATAAGATTCTCTCAAATGGGAAATACAACATAAAGGTGAAAAGAGTGCTTTTAGCGCAAAAACAAAGAAATTCAAATTTCCTAAAAAAACTTACATAATTAGATCCTTTTCCAGGTGACATTCTGAGGATCTAACGTTCCCATCAACAATAAAATATACGATCAAAACTAAACAAAAAACGATCAGTTCTCAGTTTCAATAAAATACTATTGTTTTAATGAAAAGAAAACGGTAATATGTCATTAAAATAATCCTTTATATAGCAAAGATAGATAGTGGCTAGCAGTGGAATCCAGGACGCGCGTTTCGTCCCGCTTGGGACTCGTCAGCTGGATGTACCTGCGTCTCAGAGTTGATGTTCACTCAGAGACTCGAACCCAGCATTATTCACTTGAAACGTCATCGCGTTATTCATTCAGCTACTGAGTCTTGATAGCCACTTGCTTTTGCAATGGGCTGAAGTTTAATTCACTTGATATTGTTTTATTTGAATCTTCCCATTGATAATTAGGACTGAAATTGATCAGTCTCTTATTGACATATGTGCATACTGTGCGTATGCCTTGATATTGTCTTAATTTACAAGCATTATAAGCAAAGATGGATGGTGGATAGCACTGGAATCCGGAACGCGCGTTTCAACCTATTTGGGACTCGTTAGCTGGATGTACCTGCATCTCAGAGTTGATGTTCACTCCGGGACTCGAACAATTTCAGTCCTAAACATCAATGGGAAGATTCAAATAAAACAAAACCAAGTTAAGTAATCCTTTATATATTTTTGTATTATTACTAAACATTAGGAAAGTAGATTTAAATCGGTTATAGTATTAATAATAATAATAATAATAATAAGGGAACATTACATGTTTATTTATGATTTCATATATACTTTACATCAAAAAAATAAAAAAATAAAGTGTAATAATATATATGAAACTCAACTAAAACAAAAACAATGTAACATTGAATGTTTAAATTAAAATCAATATCATGATCCCATTATAATGAAGTGACGTCATTCAAGTTAAAGGTGTAAAATAAAATCAATATTGTAAATTTAAAATACCTAGTTACATAAAACTGTTTGGCTAAAAGAGTGATTATTTTTAATCTTAATATATTGTTTGTGATAGTAACTAATAGATAAGCTATTCTATTATGTTTTGAATATTAATTTACATTTTTTTTTATATTAATAGTGTAGATGGCGAGATTGTAATTTATGGACAAACTAATCAAGTAAAAGATAACAGGTCTTGGATATTAGCGTGAAATTCATTCATTCACTTGGTTAAATAGAGTTTTAGCATTATAGCTAATGTCAATTTGTGATGAAAAGTTTCAATTTAATTCTTAACCTTAACTATTAATTGTAAATCATAATTCTAATTCCTTACATTGGTTTATAAACCTTATTTCATCCTAGTTATTATGTGAACATTCTCAAGGTTAGTCTAGTGTCGTTCAAAGATTATCCATAAATTATAGTTTCATCGTCTAGATCTATTATGTCATTGAAACTGAAAGAAAAAAACTGTAAGTTTATCATTTATAATATAGTTTGAATTCAAAAGTTAGAATGAACTGGATAATTGTTCTCTTAAATATGTGACGCTTCAGATATGTTTTCGACGACAGAGTCACGGATAGAATCCATCTCCTTCAGGCTAGAAAATTTTTGCAATTTTAGAATATCAAGAGCGAATTAGTTGTACACTATTAGGGTTAGATAATAGCATAACAGCTCACTTGCAATTGAGTTTGGTCATATTTAATTTCATTAAGCCTATTTGTAAACGTATTTAACGACTAGAGTCATTCATACAATATTAATTTATCTGTATCATTGAACCTTTATTATTGTTACAATTGTATGAATATGTATGCTTGAACATGACTTACTGCCTACGCATATATTCACTCTACTAGCTTTACTATTAGTCGCTTAATTGATTCGATGATTCATATATATATATATAAATCATGTTCATTATCTCGATGACTCGTGGACTCGCTCGGACCCTCACTCGTTTACTTGTTTGCTTTTCGGCATAACTCTTTCATGTTTGTTTCGCGTACTTGTAAATTTGAATATCTATGCGTGGTGCAATAATAAACATAATCAACACTTCGTATTCGACTTCTGTTTAATACATCATTGAGGCGTTATTTAGTGACAGTTATCAAGGTGACTTGTATACATATTTTAAGGATTCTATTAAATACTAACCACTACAATAGTCTTAAAATATTGTTAACTAACTAGATTTCAAGGCACAAACTATTCAAATCTCATTCTATGATCTAATGGTTAATCAGGTGTCTTAAACTTTGAAAGTTATGGTTTCTATCACTAATGCTTGTAGATATACACATACACAAAATCCTACTCTGGAAATAATATATATTAGTGTTTCTTGATTTTCAATGATTCTCTGATCTAAGACAATTCAGAATTTAAGCTACTAAACACAAATCCTCTATACTAAATTATAGAAAATCATTAAATAATTAATAATATTTAGCAATTATCAATT